ACTTTATTGGAAAGCTGCTGCCTTGTCCTGTTCAGCCTCGGGATTGCCCGGGAGCCCAAAGGATAACAACCTTTGAAATAATTAAATATGCTCCTGTAAGCTACAGCCTCCTCCTTTTTTTTTCCTGTTTATTTTTGTTTTGTCTTCCAGTATTGAAAACACTCCTATCAAAAAGAGAAGATGAGACAAGGACAATCAGTTCTCTTCTTATTCCAAAACCACAATCACTGTCACCCAGTTGTGGGGGCTGGGTGGCTGATGGCCTCTTCACCCCCATTCTGAGAAGTACAAACTAAACTACTGGTGGGCACATATTTTATACTGAGATTTTTTTTAATTATCTCAACTACAGAGTTAACTATGAAGAGAAAAAAGTGAAGCCATGGGAAAGCTTTGTCTTATGGGATCTTCACTCACACCCTCCTTCTTAATGTTATTTAACAGTTAAAGCTTTGGCTGGGCTTTTCACAACTTCCTCTTCTTTTGCATTATACCTTTCTAAAATCCTGACAAAAGACTTTTGTTCTAGGTGGGTTTTACAGAGGGGCTCCTCAGAGCACACATGTGGTCTTTCATGGGTCAGGGGTCACCCAACTTAGGAGTAGCTGAGAAAGCAGAATCAAAAATGACCTTCAACTTAATATCCTGTTGATGAATTGTTGAATTTTAACCCTGTGGTATAGATGGTGGTACTAGAACCTTGTAAAAAAGGAAATTATTATTATTAATACTAATATTATTTTGGTCTAAGATTTAAAGACAATGTATTCCATACTTTTCCTCACAACTCTTTTTTTTTTTTTTTTTTTTTAGAAAAAGAAATCAAAATTTATATGTTACTGGGGCCAAGAGTTTGTTTGTGTTTGGCTTCTCCTGCCTCATAATATATACCTATATGTGTGAGAACACAGTGGGTGAAAACACAATGTATTTATTCTTCTTTGTGTGCACATGATGCTACAAGAGGTCTCAGTAGACACCATTCAGAGGCCCGCAGACCAAAAGGAGTTGCTGGATGCTAGGATGCTTGTGGGATTTGCTTCCCTCCATACCCTATTTTTATTTTGTAAACACACCACAAATTTTTGATCAAGCCTTGATTCTCTCCACTTGCTGGAAAATGTACCCTTGCTAGGAGCCCAGGGCCGGATATCCTCCTCAGCCACAAGCTGAGGTTTTGCCCTGCACAGGTTTTGCTCTGTTTGGAAAGAACAGTTTGTAGGAACTAAAAAGAACAAACACGCTTGCTGCCGGTTTGGGAAGTTTGACATCACTGCAGACCAGCCCTTCTAGAAACCCGCTGAAAAAATGAATTAATTCACGGTGTCTCCCCTCCCTCCCTCCCTCCTTTCCTTC